GCAGATGGATTCGGACACTTTTGAAACCAGCCCAGAGAAGAGAGCATTTACAGTAGAGCGCGTCGGTGTGAATGTTAATGCTCGGGGACGTCGTTCTCGTTCTCACAAATAAAAGATTGTGTCTCTCTTTCTTTCGATTTTGTTCCTTTGCCTGGTTTTACCTTGCTTACTCACTCTGAATGAATGCTATTTCTCTCTTGTGTGTGTGTGTGTGTGTGTGTGTGTGTGTGTGTGTGTGTGTGTGTGTGTGTGCGGCTGACTGATATTGGTTTTTGAGAGTTGTTTTCGCCTCACTTTTCACCTCTTCCCTCTGATCTTTTATCACCACACAAACTCTCTCTCTCTCACACACACACGCACACACACACACTTGCAACTAGGTTTCAATAACAGATTATTACAGAAGCCTCGCTAACCTTTCATCTCTACACACAGAAAAAAGTATATCCTCTCACTCACACGGACACACACAAACACACACATGCGCGTTTATCGATCAGACCAATTTTAGAGCCTCACATAGACTTCCTTTGAGTTTGTAGCCACTCTTAAATCATTTCATCTAATAACTAATCTGTGTGTGTGTGTGTGTGTGTGTGTGTGTGTGTGTGTGTGGTCAGCAAATCTCATTTATCACCATAGTTCAGGTCCCCTCACTGCCATTCGGCCCCATGCATCCTGTACCCACAGCAATATGGTGGATCACAGAGGAGAGGAAGTGCGCTCATCTTTGCAGAGCCAACGATCCATAAAGCAATATGGGAGTTTATGAGCTCTCAATGTTGTTCAATATGAGGCCAAGTTCAACTATGCAATAGCCCTTTGTCTTTTTTTTTCTTTTTTTTTGTCTTTTTCTCTTTTTTTTGTTCTCTTTTCCTGAATTTCTTGCTATTGAGTGTGAAAATGTGAACTTTGGCTTTAAAAAATATGCAAGCAGGAGGAGAAACGCAAGTGGGTGATACTAAAGGACAGCAGTCATGCCATTAAAAGTTTAACTTACATTATTTTGAGCTTCATATAGATTTAGGTTGGAATTGGTTGTAGATTAAGTAACACATAGATGATCATAAAATACTGATTATAATTTATATAAGTAGAGGTAAAATAAGTTATCTAAAGACTGATCAACAGCACCAACTGCAAAAATATAACTTTTTCAAACACAAAAATGAAGTACAGTGGAACCCCGACTTACGAAATTAATTCGTTCCCGAGGGTCTTTCGTAAGTCGAAAATTTTTGTAAGTCGAAGCACCCATCGCGCCTTTTGAGTGAACGATAGGCTATAGGCTAATTGCTAATGGCAACAACAATACGTCGTTCAAGTAGATCAGCGAAGCGCAAGTACGAAAGCCACGGGATTGTCACATGATTCGGAAGGCATTGTGGGCATTGTAGGCATTCTGGGCTCAGCCAATCAGAGTCAGCGGATTTCGTAACACGGGCATTTTGTCGTAACACGGGCAGAAATATTGCCGTTCAGTGCCTTTGTAACTTGAATTTTTCGTTTAACGGGGTATTCATAAGTCGGGGTTCCACTGCATCAACTGCATCAACTCACCACAGTTTTAATTAAATCCAAATTTCCAAAAGACACATCATGCAAAGTGCATAACAAGATAAGTGAAGCCAAAGTGAACGGACATACAAAGTACCGGAAGGATGCAAAACACACGAAAAGTCATTTAAACACACTGAAGCACAAAGAGAAGCATTCAGACAATTATGTGTCACGAATGGTGGCGTGCTGAGGCTTCAATAAAACCAAACTTTAACAGATCAACGGTTCAAATTAATCAAAGTCCAAAAATGCAAAGAACATTTTTTAAAAAGAAGCAAAACCATGAGGAGCTGGGAGTAAGTAGGAAGCCAAAAGAAATAACCCAGAGAGGAACATGAGGGAGTATACACAGACACCCTGACAAAGACAGAGGGGAGGACGAGTGTTCATGCACTGAGGGCTGACTGTGAATGAGAAACAGGCGGAAACAATCTGGACAGTCACAAAGGAGGAAGTAAAACTAATAGAAGGCATGATGGAAAACAAACCTTCAAAGTAAAGCAGAAAATATCAAAAAAAGAGATGTGAAGACAGAGACAGGGGGGCTAACAGAAAGCAGATCTTAAAATTAGGTAAATACAAAAAAAAGTCCACTTTTACTGCTTCCAGTGGAATTAAACGGGTAATCAAATGCACTTGATTATCTGAATCAGCAAGTATGAGCACCTCTATAAAAACAAAACTTCTGGCTTGCTGTTCTGAAGCATTCAGGTGTGTGTTCGCACAACGCTGAGGGAAAAAAGACTTTATCAGTATTCTTAGAGGGTTGGATTTTCCAAATTTTAAGACCTGGTAAGGACCAGACTTTAGACTTTCTTTTACGGAGCAGTCAGCTACAAAGTTGAAACCGCCTGATTATTGTTGTTTAGGTCCCGATCACTCCAATGGAGCATGGATGTAGGGTGTTTTCTGGGATACCGACTTTCGATCCATTGGTTCCTTCGGGTTGTTTAAATTTAGCATTTGGGCTTGTTCTGCTTCATCCCATCGATGCTTGGACAGATTGAGTGTCACAACAATAGTTCCCTCAAGTCCCTTTATATTACAATGATCCTAAAGTAAAAGAAAGAAAATCCAAACGTCAGACAACCCTAATGGCCAAGTTCTTGGCGACAGTGGGAAGGAAAAACTCCATTTTAACAGAAAGAAACCTCTGGCAGAACCAGGCTTAGGGAGGGGCAGCCATCTGCTGCAACCAACTGGGGGTGGACAAAAGAAACTCTGTGGAAGACAGCCAGAGATTTAAGGCCTTGGACTTTTTCTCAACTTCCTCAAGCTATTCCGTTGTTGGCAGGGCATGCTGTCCTGCTGAGGGAGCCCACTGCCATCGGGGAGTGCTATTTACCTAAGGTTAAGTGTATTTTAGCCTTTTCCAAGGTCCCAAAACAGGAAATTTTAAGGACATCATGTTTCATTGTTTGATGAAAAATATCATCGTTAATTGGATATATAATGTATAATAAGTTAATAATAAACCATATATTTACTTTCAATACGTATATGATCTGGTGTGAGTGAATTAAGGCATGGGAAACATTTCCTTTACCATGATGTTCACCACTCTAGTTTGCCTTTGTCTATGGGAAATTTTAATGTTTGCTCTACATAAGACACAATAGGCTCATTCAATCTCTATTTCCTTCACTTCTGCTAACCTAAACAGTTGGTGCTGTATCTGAAAAAAAAAAAGTGATTATTCTGTTTTAAAGTAAGACCTATTCGAAGTTGAACTGCTGACAAACTTTAATGAGCAGTTTAATTACATTGAGCCAAACTCCATCCTGGTGCCACGCCGCACGCACAAACCGACACACAAACCTCTGGTCGCGCCTGCGGTAACATGGCGATCGTGCCAGCTGAATGGAGCAGATGGTCGCAGGACTGAGGCTGGGGAGCTTGAGTGACTGGTGGAAATGCTGGCAGGGACGGAAAGAGGGCTTGATGGGCGCAAATATGAGGAACTAATTACAGTGGTAGCCACTGCATTAGTCGATTGTGTTGCATTTATCATGAGCACTGCAGACGGCCAGTTACATTACTTATTTTAGCAAAAGAGTTGAATATGGGGGACCAAAACTGTCAAGATTTTAATAAATGAGTCATAAAAACATAATATTCAAACACAAAATAGCATTAAAAATGAATGTAGGTAATAATTCATTTATAAAATCATTGTAGTCTATTTGTCTTGTCTCTCGTGTATTTTCTGATGTTTTAATTTCCTCGTGTAGTTGCATTTTTGCATTGTCTGTCCTCACTGTGTGTTGCAAAAAGTTTAAAAAGTTGCACTTTTTCTGTATTTGATGTCTATTTCTATTACTTTTGCTATATTTGTAGAATCTTTTAATTAACTTTATTTACTTTTTTGTATTATTTTCCTTTTTTCTCTTTATTTCACTCTTCTTTTGATGAATAAATGCGTGGCTGGTTTTGTGGTGTTATGGTGTTGCTCTTGACTCTTAGAAAGTTCCCTTGCTTTTCATGCCTTTCTACAGTATAGAGTTTGCAGTAAGGTAGGGAACAAAAATGGTTGTTTTTGTGCACGCAGCTAAAACTGGGAGAAAAGCCTACCCTTATCTAATTGCCCGGGGTTCCCACACACCAACAGAGTCGTGTCTACTCCCCATAATATCTTCAAAGTCTTGTACTCTCGTCAGCCAAGTAAAGTCTCCAAGTGAAACCCTCGGTAAAGGTCAACCAATGCAATTTGAATATCTTTGATTAAACGGTGTGCCTGTGCCAGACCTAGACTGTAGGTCAGTGCCTCAGAGAAATGATATCCACCCCTCTAACCCCACTTGTCCCTCCCCAAGTCTTCACTCTCGCGTCTCCCTCATTGTCGAGGGTCACGTCTGCTGCACTCCCCTTTCAGCAATTTATGTAATCCCTCAATCCTCGATTCCCTCCCACTGTTCCCTCTGTCCTTCAGCCCTCCCTCGTTCACGTTCTTTCACTGTGTCGAGCTCTCGTATTCACACGGTTTTAGTCCTCAGATCTCCGCTCCTGGATGTTTCTTTGTCTTGATTTCATTCTAACGCATTCGGAGCACACGCCAGTGAAGCGATTCATCAGCAGACAAGTGCTTTAGTTACAAATTCCACCATGTTCAGCCGTGGCTGTAGTTATAGAATAGAGTGAGATCAGATATATGGGATTTTCCATCAGTTTTACAAGAGGGGCAAAAAAGAAAAAGCTGTTTAAGTTATCTAGGTTAACTGGTTGTGCTGACCTTTAAGTGTTGTGTATGTATGTAATCAAGTTAGCTAGCCTGCTGGCCTTTAAGCATAATGACTACTGTGGTCATGAATGGCTGAAAATCATTAATTACACTGTTTGCGTTTCTCCCTTTTTGAATCTGTCAGCATAGTTAACATGCTCTGTAAGACAAATTGTCTCAAACGTGACCCTTTTTTTTCTTCTTCTTCTGTTTTTGTGTGTAGTTTGTCCTGGTACAGAGAACAAATTGAGCACACTCTCAGACCTGGACCAGCAGTACCGCACCCTGAAGAAGCTCTACGAGAACTGCGAAGTCGTCATGGGGAATCTGGAGATTACCAGCATTGATCGAAACCGCAACCTCTCCTTCCTCAAGGTACGGGGGTGAAACCGTCTCTGGTCCGTTTGCTTTAATGGATTGATGGCGAGCAAGAGAGAAAGACTGGGCGTTTTAGCATTCTGTATTGGGCAACAGATGGGATTCAGGACCACGGAGAGAGACAGGCAGAAAGACGGTGAATGTTTTACAATGAGAGCGCTCAGGCTCTGTCTCTGCTCACTCATTCTGTTTTCTCCATCGTAAACACTCACTACTTTATGGTCAGTGCAAAATCAAGATTTTTAGATAAAGGCATAATCCTCTTAAACCTTCACTGACTCATCATTGTGCTAAACTATGCATAAATCATGGACTACAAATGTGGATAGTAAAAGTGATAGTGGCTAAATATAGACAGAGATGAGGCTGGAATGTATTTTTGGAGACACAAAGAAAGAGCTGGAATGTTTCGGCATCTCAGTCGGACACAGAGATCCCAGTCAGGAGGCTTAACCCAGTTTTGATTATGTTCAAGATGTAAGGTTAACACGGCGCACACAGACAGAAAAGGTTTTCTGAACTCATTAGAGTTCATTTGTTGAGTAAAATGATTCTATATTGCATATTTACGAGATCCAAATATATACTATAGTCAAGATTTAGAAAACACAGTCAGTTCATTTCAACATCAAGTACAATAGACGTGCTTGTTTTTGGTGTTAAATATAGATGCAATTAGCCATAAACTCCATGTTGCAAATATTGATAAATCGATTTGCGTGTCTGATTTAAATATTCTCTTTCTGTATTTAAGGCGCTCCCACAAATGTATATAGAACATGGTCAGTTGCAAAAATCTGACCCATTAGGTGATGCCAGCTCACATCACCCAATGGGTCAGTAGATGCTTTTCAACACATCCAGCTGGCAAAATGGCACATAAGGACCATTATATGAGCTAATTGTGTGGATGCCTTAATAGGCATCCACACTATTGAGTTCCTGTTTCTCTTTATTCTTTATTATTCCGGGTGTTTCCGTACACTTTTTGCCGTGGATCTACTTCCACAATTTTTGTGCTATTTTCACCGTTCAAACTCTAAACTGTTCTGCTCTTTCTGCTAATGCCGGCTATGACTTTTGGTGTTTATTACTATTATACTTTTTAAAATATTACACTTTTTTCCTTTAATTTGTCCCATTGAAATGAATGGGAAACTTCCACAATTCTGCTAAAACTTTCTTGTCTTTGAAACTTAACTACTGCCTCATACTTTCACCTAGAAACTTCATTCAAACTTTAAAATGTTCTCAAATGATTTGGCTATTCCTGTATGATTCAGCTTTTTCAGATCTTCTACCGTTTTAATCTTATCCCTCTTTGAGTTTTCAGTTGCAAAATTGTGATTTTTCAGAAAATACATGCGTTGCTATGGTTGCTATGCAATTAACTCAGAGGGGACAGTGAAACTGTTTGAATTTTCTCTTCATGTCCAAACAACTTCTTGCTACTCGCTCAATTTCCACTCAAGCCCCACACATTATACATCAAAACGTAGGTATTTTTGCTGGCTTTCAGAAAATGTCACTATCATTGTTGTGGGACTTATAGATTTTTTGCAAATCTCCTCAGAGTAACACAAAGTCAGAAAACTCTCCATATAAACTCAATGGAGAGTTTGTTCAAAATCACCGCTGGATTTCTCTAATGAGAGGCATTTTCAAATTGTCATATCTCCTTAACGAAGCGAAGTTAAGACATGAGGCTTGTCCCGATATATCTTCAGACACTCCTGATGCTCACAATTAAAGAATTATTTTCTCACCTATTACCGTTCTGAGATGAGTTAGACTTGATTGAGGGGTGGAAATTTGTCCCTCGCTCAGATTTCATCAGATTTCAATCTCTGGAAATGAACCACTTTTTTCTCTCGTCATATCTTTTTGATGGATTTCCACAGAGCCCTGAAAATTTCCATGACTGTTCACCAAAGCCTGCTGTTTCTTACGGTGAAAGAATGATTTTGATGCTCCATATAGATTTAGAGTTACCAAAGGTTGTTTGAGAGCAAGTAAGGCAGTTTTTGCTTCGCCTCTACACAGTTACAGTGTATTACAAGTCATATATCTTTAATAATTTATATTTTATCTCTGAATTATGAAGACCTGAAGATTCCCCCATCTCTTCTGAACAAAACGATGTCTGAATGACCGTTCTAGCCTCTACGGTTAGGGAATTATGGCCATTTGTTCGAGGGGAATCCTGAATGTCAGAAATACACTGAAGAAAACTCACACCTCTCTCTGTCTCTGTGTGTGTAAGGGCTGACTACAGCAGGTGCAGCTAATTTAACTGACCTACATATACCAAGCCCAGACTCTCCACAGCTCCTGTTCCCTTTACTCTCTGTGTATGTGTGTCTGTGTATCAGTATTTCTCCTATGTTTAGGTATTACTCCTCAATCATAGTATTTCTGCTAAAGCAAAGTACTTCTACTACATCTAAGTACTTTTGCCAAATCATAGTATTTCTGCTAAATCATAGTATTTCTGCCAATTCATAGTATTTTTGCAAAATCATGGTATTTGTGCAAAATCATGGTTTTGGGGCCAAATATTTCTGTTATTTTATAATATATGTGCTGAATATATTATATGTGCCAAATCATAGTATTTATCCCAAATTATAGTATTTATGCCAAATTACAGTATTTCTGATAAAACGCAGAAATAGTACCTTTTAGCAGGAATTTCTACCAAAAGATAGTACTTCTGCTAAATCAGAGTATTTCTGCTAAACCAGAGTATTCCTGCCAAATCATAGTATTTGTACTGAAACATGGTACTTCTGCCCAATCATAGTATTTATACCCAATCATAGTATTTCTGCTAAATCATAGCATTTGTGCCAAATCATGGTATTTGTGCAAAAACATAGTATGTCTGCAAAACCATAGTATATCTCTTATGTTATAGTATTACTACTAAGGCATAGTATGTGTGCCAAATCGCAGTATTTATACCAAATCACAGTATTTGTGGTAAAACATAGTATTTCTGCCATATTGTGGTATTTGTGCAAGAACATTGAACTGTTATGTTATAGTATTACTACTAAGTCATAGTATTTCTGCATTGTTATAGTATTTGTACTAAAACGTAGTATCTCTGCCAAGTCATAGAATTACTGCAATTTCATAGTTTTTTTTAGGAAATCTGTTATGTTATAGTATTACTACTAAGTCATAGTATTTCTGCCAAATCACAGTATTTGTGCCAAAGCATCGTATTTGTATGGAGTCATAGTATTTCTTCTAAATCATAGTATTTCAATCAAATCTCAGTAGTTGTTGTTAAAACGCAGTATTATTGCCAAATCATAGTATTTGTACCCAATCATAGTATTTCTGCTAAATCATAGCATTTGTGCCAAATCTCAGTATTTGTGCAAAATCATAGTATGTCTGCAAAACCATAGTATATCTTTTATGTCATAGTATTACTACTAAGGCATAGTATTTCTGCCAAATCATAGTATTTGTACTAAATCATAGTACTTGTGCCAAATCATAGTATTTGTTGAACATCATAGTATTGGAACCAAAACATAGTATTTGTCCCAAAGCATCGTATTTGTATGGAGTAATAGTATTTCTTCTAAATCATAGTATTTCAATCAAATCTCAGTAGTTGTGTTAAAATGCAGTATTATTGCCAAATCATAGTATTTGTACCCAATCATAGTATTTTTGCCAAATCGTGGTATTTGTGCCCAAATAATAATTCTGTTATGTTATAGTATTACTACTAAGTTGTAGCATATCTGTTATGTTATAGTGTATCTGCGGAATATAGTATGTGTGCCAAATCATAGTATTTATACCAAATCACAGTATTTGTGCTAAAACATAGTATTTCTGCCATATTGTGGTATTTGTGCAAGAACATTGAACTGTTATGTTATAGTATTACTACTAAGTCATAGTATTTCTGCGTTGTTATAGTATTTGTGCTAAAACGTAGTATCTCTGCCAAGTCATAGAATTACTGCAATTTAATAGTTTTTTTTAGGAAATCTGTTATGTTATAGTATTACTACTCAGTCATAGTATTTCTGCCAAATCATAGTATTCGTGTGAATTTGTATACTGTAATATCACTGTATTATGTAGTGGCTAAGTAGGGGCTGTTTACTAAGTGCATCAGTGTAAATAGGTCATCTCTTGTGTTGGAGTGCCCTCTTGTGGCGCCTTTTGGGTAGTGCCTTAGTAAACGGGAACCCTGTAAAAAGTGGCATCAGACTGATTTGTAGTGGAGGAATTTGTTACCAGTTTTCTTAATCTTTAATCTGTATGCATGTTGTAATGCATACCCTGTTCTTAATCATAGAAACCACACCATATCACCTCTCCACATCCTCCTACTGTATGCCATACCTCCCTGTACCATCCATCTGACCGCAATAAACTCCACCTGTGGTAATCTAATCCCTGGATGTCAGCCTCTCCTTCTGACCGAGGATAGTTATAGTATTTGAGCCAAATCATAGTATTTGTGCTAAAACATAGTATTTCTTCCAAATCATAGTATTTGTGCCAAAGTATAGTATTTCTTCCAAATCATAGTATAACTGCACAATAAAGGTTCTTGAGCCACATCAGTGTTTGTGCCAAATCTTAGTATTTCTTCTAAATCCTAGTAATTCTGCTCAATGATAGAATTTCTGCTATGCTTTAGTACTTTTTTCCTATATTGTAGTACTTCTGCTAAGTCAAAGTATTTCATGTAAATCATAGTATTTCTACCAAGTCCCAATGTTTCTGCTAAATCATAAATAATGTTTTAGTACAAATTGTATGATTTGGTGGAACTTTCTGTGTTCCAGCACAAATGCTATGATTTGGCAGGAAAAAAATATTATTTAGTATAAATACTAAGTTTTAGCAGAAATGCTATGTTTAAACTTTAAAAAATTCTGCTATTTCTGCTGATGTGTGTTATGACTTTTGACCATTGAAATGAATGGAACACATTATCAATGTGGTCACTGATTTTG